TATTTGATCATTTTTGGAGAAACCAGAGGGTTTGTTTATGAGGATTTAATTTATTTAAGTAAATTTAATTTTTTTATTTTTTATAAATAATTTATTTACTTACAAAAATATGAATGATATTTATAAATATAAAATCAATAATAAAATCTATCGATCTATAATATTTTAGGTAAAAAACACTTTTTCAAAATATTATATAATAAAATATATAATACTATTCGAACATTTTATATTTATTCATCCTTTTTTCACCTATTTTTTATCAATAGTGATCAAAGACAACTAATCTTTTTGATTTAAGAAACTTGCTTAATACTTTGAACTTTTATGATTCATTCATTGAGCTAAAACTTTTATAATAAATTTGTGTAAATTTTAAAATAAATATCAAAATAGAATAAACTTTTAAATTTAAAATTATTCTTTAAATTAATAAATAAAATAATATTAGTGGAATAAAAAAGATAAAAAAATAAAATAAATAAAAGCTATCAAATAAATTCAAATAGCTTTTTTGTTTTATATTCATTTTTATAGTTTGAAATATTACAATCCAAAACAAATAAACTGTTTTTACCCAAGGCCAAGTTTCAAATTTGAGAGATTAATGCAATTTGCTAAAGCAGAACCTAAGTCTGACGCACCAATTGTACAAATTTAATTTTCACTTTTTAAATATTGAAGAAAAAATATATAATTAAATAGTTAATTAGAAGGAAAAAATGAAGAAAAAATATGAAATAATAAGAAATAAATAATAAAAGCAAAAGTTGAAAATAAAATGATGAGCTAAATTAACAAATAAAGAATAAAAAAAAGCAAGCACAATAAAAAGAAAAAGAAAAAAGAGCTTTTTTGTTTTTAATTAGTTTTTATAATTAAAGATATCACAATCCAAAACAAATAAATTGTTTTTACACAAGGTTAAGTGTCAAATTTGAGAGATTAATGCAATTTGCTAAAGCAGAACCTAAGCCTGATGCACCTTCAGCACCAATTTAATTTTTACTTTTTAAATATTGAAGAAAAAATTATCATTAAATAGTTAATTAAAGGAAAAAATGAAGAAAAAATATGAAATAATAAGAAATAAATAATAAAAGCAGAAGTTGAAAATAAAATGATGAGCTAAATTAACAAATAAAGAACAAAAAAAAGCAAGCACAATAAAAAGAAAAAGAAAAAAGAGCTTTATTGTTTTTAATTAGTTTTATAATTAAAAATATCACAATCCAAAACAAATAAATTGTTTTTACCCAAGGAAAAGTGTCAAATTTGAGAGATTAATGCAATTTGCTAAAGCAGAACCTAAGCCTGATGCACCAATTGTACAAATTTAATTTTCACTTTTTAAATATTGAAGAAAAAATATATCATTAAATAGTTAATTAAAGGAAAAAATGAAGAAAAAATATGAAATAATAAGAAATAAATAATAAAAGCAGAAGTTGAAAATAAAATGATGAGCTAAATTAACAAAGAAAAAACAAAAAAAAAGCAAGCACAATAAAAAGAAAAAGAAAAAAGGGTAGGTAGTTGTTATCTGGGTCTGGATTGACCCTGATAAAGTGATGGATGTTAGTTTTTGCCTTTTTAGGTCTCTCCTCTATATATATGCATTTTGACCCCCCTGATATTTCTTTTTTATTTCTTGCCACAAATTTCTTTGAAAACGCCAAGAAGTTCATAGAGTCTGATACTTTTTTTATTTTTTTTGCCAAAAAAAAGACTCTGAGAAAAAATTAAACAAACTTCAAAAATTCATAAAGAAATATACAAACTAATAAATAATAAATAATAAATAAATAAAACAAATAAATAAATAAATTTATAAATTTAATCTTTATGTTTAATTTTAAGAAACATTTCTGAGTGTATAAATACATGTATTTATATGCGAGTATATTATTATTATTATTATTATCACCAATTTAATTTAGACTTTTTAAATATTGAAGAAAAAATATATCATTAAATAGTTAATTAAAGGAAAAAATGAAGAAAAAATATGAAATAATAAGAAATAAATAATAAAAGCAAAATTTGAAAATAAAATGATGAGCTAAATTAACAAATAAAGAACAAAAAACAAGCAAGCACAATAAAAAGAAAAAGAAAAAAGGGTTTTATTGTTTTTAATTAGTTTTTATAATTAAAAATATCACAATCCAAAACAAATAAATTGTTTTTACGAAAGGCCAAGTGTCAAATTTGAGAGATTAATGCAATTTGTTAAAGCAGAACCCAAGCCTGATGCACTTTCATCACCAATTTAATTAGACCTTTTTAAATATTGAAGAAAAAATATATCATTAAATAGTTAATTAAAGGAAAAAATAAAGAAAAAATATGAAATAATAAGAAATAAATAATAAAAGCAGAAGTTGAAAATAAAATGATGAGCTAAATTAACAAAGAAAGAATAAAAAAAAGCAAGCACAATAAAAAGAAAAAGAAAAAAGAGATTTATTGTTTTTAATTAGTTTTTATAATTAAAGATATCACAATCCAAAACAAATAAATTGTTTTTACACAAGGGAAAGTGTCAAATTTGAGAGATTAATGCAATTTGCTAAAGCAGAACCTAAGCCTGATGCACCTTCATCACCAATTTAATTTTTACTTTTTAAATATTGAAGAAAAAATTATCATTAAATAGTTAATTAAAGGAAAAAATGAAGAAAAAATATGAAATAATAAGAAATAAATAATAAAAGCAAAAGTGAAAATAAA